TCGGCTGGGCAGCTGGATCTGCCCGGCAGGAGATGATTGGGCCTACAAGCCACAAGACATCCCCCACTTCGGCGCGCTGCTGCAGGAGGTCCAGACTAGCGCGCAGGACCAGCTATAGCAACAGGCCGCATCACACAGACATGGTGAAGGCCTGCGTGAAGGAGCGGACCTCTGCCAGCTGCAGCGCCACCTGCGCAGGCGACGGCGCAAAGGGCAGCACGCCGAGGCGGCGATGCTGGAAACGATAATAGTGGCGGGTATCTGGGCGAGGGAGAGCCGCAGGGCTGCCAACCTCAGCCAGGCAGGAGAAGAGGTCTGCGCGAGATGCGGAGAATCGGTGGGAACAGAAGAGCACCGTTACTACGACTGCCCTGCACATGACGAGATCGGCCACAGCAACAACGCCGACCTGGCCAAGAAAGACAAGGAGGCGCTCAACCAGCAGCAGGACGTGCACTTCTGGCTCCGAGGCATCCCGCTGATGGCATTGTCCACAAAGGTCGACCCAGATGAGGGCGTCGCCAAGGCAGCGCAGATGTTCTGCACCAGCGCGGAGGCACAAGCGGCAGTCCAGATGGGGCACAAGGTCAGAGCCAACTGCGTCTTCACGTCTTCACGGACGGCTCGGGAGGTGCAGGCGCCACGGCCGAGGGCCCCGGGCTCCCCGAGGCGCGGCTGGGCAGTCGCGGCTTTCGACCTCGGCGAGGGGGGTCTACCGCAGGAGGTGGCAGCCCGGCGCGGGACTATCAGGGCGCCGCGCACGGTGCCCAGGGCAGAGCTCACAGCTGTGAGCAAGGCCATCGGGTACACCACGGCGGCCACAGCCCAGGGCATCAACATTGTCAGCGACTGCAAGTATGCCCTCGACGCGCTGAAGCAGATCCAAGACCCCGAGGACCTCGGCTACAGAAGTGTGGACTACCACCTCTGGCTCATGACGAAGCAGCAGTTGCAGCGCAGCACGGACGCCACCATGGGCCACCACATCCCCAGCCACATGATCGAGCACCCCGCCGAGCTGGAAAGGTTGGAGGGCCGACCTGGCGGGCGATCGGCAACGAGATGGCCGACAAATATGCAGGCTGGGGCGCAGAACATGGAGCGCTCGACCCAGCAACCATCGCCAAGCAGCAGATCCGCAACCAGATCACGGCGGCCGTCCACAACGGACTGCTCGGGATCAACATGGCGGTCACGTCTGAGGACCCCAACATGGTCCACCAGCAGGGGAGAGCGAAGAGGAGGAAGCCGCCGACAGCCCAGGAGAAAGCAGCCCAGCTTGGACACGATCTGCGGAAGCTCCACCCGCGCTGGCGGCGCGTCTCTTGCCGCAGCGGGCCAGACAAGGGGCAGAGTGCACGAGCATGGCTAGCAGAGAACGGAACGTGCCAAGGGAGAGATCGATCGCTGCCACCTGGATTTCCACGGCAACCAGCGGCTCGACTTCAAGGCGGTCATGACTGGCGCCCTGGTGGTCCACGACGCGCACAACACGCACCTCGCGCAAGGCTGGCTGTGTTGCCGTTGCCCACGTTACCCGTTATATGACATCGCTCGTTGTGTTCCTTGCCACCCTATTCCCCTTGTGTCTCCAGTTGTGGTTGCAGCTATCAGCCCTTTTTCTTTCCACGTTTTTTTTGTCAGTTGTGCGCGTGTGTGTGCTTGCACGGGGCTGTGTTACCGCTGCGTTTAATGTTGATTGCGTGGGTTTGCTTTTGCGTCGGTGCTTGCCTGTTCGCGCGTTCCATTTTTCACTTGCAAGTGTGTTGCGCGTTCCCGTTGCCGCGCATCCTCGCGCGTGGCTCTACGTCGCGTTTTCCCCCTGCCTCCCCCCCCCCCCCTGCGCATCCTGCAACATTTGGTTTGCCATCGTCGCCCGCCGCGTCAATTCTCAATGTTGTTCACGGTGTTGTTTCCGTGTGTTTCCCACAAATAAGTGTGGACGTGCGGGTCACGCGCGTTGTTCTGCCGTGCGCGCATGCATGCATATGGTTGCGCTTGGGACACGTGAACAATCATGCGCACGTGGCTTCGTCTATGCGCACGCTGTCACAGGCAAAGGGCTCAATCAATTTCGGCGGTGAAAGTATATAAGTATGTTACGTGACATATGCAATTATAAACAAGCGCACGCGTCGGCAACATGCAATACGCATATCCGAGGTAGGGTACCATATGTTTAGTTGTGCACCAACTCAAAATATTTATTTGCACTGGCCATGCCGCGTGGCTGATCATATGTAGTGTGTGTTTACGCTTCGGTAGCGTATGTGGTAAGGGTCCCGATCGTGCGTCGTCAGTCACGTCATGTTCCTATAGCATGTTATCACACTTACTGTCACGTCTCATGCGTGGTTTTATAGATAATGTGGACAGTTGGCCCGATTTGCAGGTCGACGCCCGTGCTCTTGAGGTTGCTCTGCTCGGAAATGCCTCGCGGGAAGGAGCGGCCGCGTCGCGTCGCCGTAGCCGGGGCGGGCTGGCCTTGCGCGCCGCCGTTTCGCATGCATTCCTGGGGGTTGTTGCGGTGCATCTTCAATCTGTTTGTGCACGATGCATTCTGCGCAGTCGGCCCAAGGCTTGTGTTTCCTAGCCCTTCCCCTCCTGGACGTTCCTGGGCCTCCGCTGGGTCTGGCCAGCAGATGAATCCGTCGGGGTGCTCGTTCAAGGAGCCAGGCGCGCCTCGCGGGGTTCTTCGAGTCGCAGACTATCAGGATACGCGTGTAAAGTTGGCCAGCGCCTCCCACACCGTTGCACTGAGGCCGCGTTCGCCTGGCGGGCGCCTTCAGCGCTCCGCATTGGCCCCCCCCCCGCCCCTTCAGTCAGCGCTTCGGGCGGCCATCGGGCGGGGCCAATTGCATGCTCCAACCCGAATGTCAGTCAGCAAGGGTACGGAGGTGGAGGCAGAGACAGGAGGTGGCTGCACGGAGGCGGAGGCAACGAGGTGGATGGAAGAGGTGGAAGCACGGAGGATGGAGGGTGGAGGATGGGGGAGGTGGGTTCGAGGTGGATGGAGGAGGTGGAGGGTGGAGGGTGGAGGATGGAGGAAGGGGGAGGGAAAGGGTCGCGCGTCGTCGCGCCTCCGTGGGGGAGGAGCTGCGCGAGGGCAAGGTCTCTCTGGCGAACTCCTGGGACTTCGGCCGGTGCGTATTGCGTGGCCCGAGCTGGAGTTACCTTGAACGTGATGGCGGGCCCGGCTCGGTCGGATACGCAGTGCCTCCGACCCCCGAGGTCCTCGAGAAATGGGCGAAGGACAAGTTGATTGGCGCGTCGGGTGATCAGGAGGATATGGTTGGTCTGTGCCCTGGGATTTCATCACGGACCCGATCACCGTGGCGTTCCCGCACGGCCCGCGCGGTGAGACGCCGATGCACGCGCGGGCTGGCCGTCTCGAGAAGTGCGACGTGGTGCGGCCCCGCGCAATGGCGACCAACACGGCGCAGGAGCGGCTTCACGACATCTGCAGCGTGAGGTTCGAGATGCTGCGGATCCAGCGGGAGGCGCGCTCGTGGAAGGGCGACGCGTTCTCGGCGGTGGGGGGTGGGGTTGGGCCAGACGAGCTCGCCATCAACCAGCTTCGGGGCATGGCCGAGGACTGGTGCGAGAAGGCCTTGAAGGCGGGGGTCGGGCGGTTCGCGGAGACCGTTCAGGAGGCCAGCGGCGCCGCCTCGGGCCCGAGGCGCTCCCTGAAGCCGAGCCTCCGCGCCGCGTCGGAGCCTGGGCGGGGGTTGGGGGCAG